ATCAATATATGCGTCTGGTTCAGCTCAAAATGTTACAACAGGAGTTCGACTCGCAAAAACAGAAATATTGAATCAAAAATACGTGGTTAAAATATTCGATTAGGCGTACCACATAAAACCTAACCTACAAAACGCCTGAATGTCGAATAACCATTTCATCATATTCTGATGTCTCATGGGCAAGACAATCATAAAGTTGGGTTTTATATGTAAAATGTCTTATTGCACAGCAAATACATAGCCTTTTGACAGTTTCTTACTACCGACTCATACAAATATAGACCCCTAACAGAGTTGGCTTCAGAAAGTTACACACAAATACATAGTGCAATTTCAGTGCCAAAAGATTCAGAATGACTTGTAACGTCACAAAAATTTAAAAGTAGCAAATTGCATGTTCCATCTTTTGGAAGTTAACCCTTTCCACTCGGATGCCGCAGCTCCGACGGCAAATTCATGCAAATTTCAGGATTAGTGTGTGGAAAGGTTTAATAATATGTATCATTTTTTAAAAAAAAAAAATGGTATTAGTGATAATGGGATGAAGGACAAGGAAATCATTTGTTGTGGTGGCTCTCACACCATGGACCTGCCTTCGGGCAGACTACCATTTATTATTATTATCATTTTTATGCGCTATTGGGGATCGAAATAGGGGGATATGTCTGTCGCGCTCTTGCCGGCATCGGGAATATAAAGTATATACACTCGGTTGTATATATACACATGTAATAGACAAATATACATGTATGTATATATACATATACATATACATATACAAATGTATATGTATATTATATACATATGTATATCCAGTGCCAATTATATACTAGACAGCATGACTACACTCGGTGCTTACGTCATGTACCATATAGTGCAACCCAACTGTTTAAAACCGAGTTTCGATTATACGAAATTATATAAATTACCAGCTGTACTATTTATAGTACAATTTTGAAACCAAGCCAAAATTTTCTTCAATGTTTAAACATTAAGTTGTGATAAAAATTATATGACATAAATGTTTCTATTTATTTTATTTAATTAAATAGAGCGATGAGTGTCAGTCAAACCTTACTTGGTATTCAATATCGATTTGAAGGTATACCAAGTTGCTGTAGGGTGATATAATGTTAGACAAAATTGTAGATAATTTAATTTTGTACAGGTTTGCCGAAAACATTATTTAAATTCAGCAAATAGTTTAAAAATTATGCAAGATATAATGAAAAAATGCACTTAGAAAAGAATAATTTTCGTTAAAGTCAATTCATAGTTTTTCTTAGGGTTTTTAGAGTAGAAAGAGCTGCTGTAGGGTCTTGTAATATTAGACAAAGTTGTTTTTTATTCAATTTTGAACAAATTTTCCAAAAACATTATTCAAATTCCGCCAATAGTTTAAGAGTTATATTTAATTTACTAAACAAGTATACTTTTTTGCCAAGTAAATTTTGTTGTAACGCTCAATTTAGCTTCAGGATTTTATTGTAACATTGAACATCGATTTAAAAATATACCGAGTTGTTCTACAGTCGTATGTCGTATAGGAAAGTTGTAGATTATTTAATTTTGCACAAGTTTGCCAAAAACACTTTTGAAATTACGCGAATAGTTCAAAAGATATTCAAGATTTAATAAACAAATGCACCTGTAGATAAATAATTTTTGTTAAAGTCAATTCATAGTGTTCTATAACGGTTTTAGAGTAGAGCGAGTTGCTGTAGGGTCTTATAATATTAGACAAAGTTGTTATTTATTCAATTTTAAACAAATTTGCCAAAAGCATCATACAAATTCCATCAATAGTTTAAATGTTATATTTTATTGACATTTAGTGTACTTTTGCCAAGTAAATTTTGTTGCATCGCTCTATTCAGCCTCAGGATTTTATTGTAACATTCAACGTCGATTTAAAAATATACCGAGTTGTTCTGAGGTCGTATATCGTATGTAAAAGTCGTAGATTATTTAATTTTGAACAAATTTGCCAAAAACATTATTTAAATTCCTTCAACTGTTTAAAAGTTATATTTAATTCACTAAATAAGTGTACCTTTGCCAAGAAAATGTCAAAACTAATTACTAGATTTTCAATCAGGTTCGATAATATACAGTATTGTATATATATATATATATATATATATATATATATATATATATATATATATAAAAGAGGATCGTGTTAGTTACAATACTTATAACGCACGAACGGCTGAACCGATTTAGCTGGAAATTGGCAGGGAAGTAGTCTAAAGCCAAGAGAAGGATATAGTGTATTTTTTATCCCGTTTTTCATTCAAATTTAAATTTAATTAATTATATCCATTATCACTATAGATTTAGTTTATTCAATCTATTCGCTTGCCAATCGCTTTGATTAAACAATAAAAAGGCCTAATTAAAATTAAACTTGACTACTTTATAGTGAATGAATATTAGTTCTTGGTTCTATATATATAACTCGGAAAAAAAGTTTTTATAAAATCGTGAGTTTTCTGAAAATAGTTTGTACTAAAGTAGTGAATCTGCTAGAATCCATCAAGATGTGTATAATGAAGTGAATTCTAGATGGAATGTCAATTACTTTAATTCTGGTGGAAATGGCGCTCATTAAACCATATGATTTAAAAGAAAAAAACTTCGTATATGCCTTCTTATTTGCATGATAGCTCACTCATTTTACACGCAAAAAACTTGTAACAGCACTCATTTTAAAGTTTATGTCGAGCACTAAAAAACCCAATTTCACCGAAATGCATAAAATGTAAAACCTCGACACTAGATGGCTTTAAATACAACAATTAAATCTTGAACGAAATAAAAAACGACTTTGCTCTTTCAAATCTTGCTTAATATTATGCCTAGAACACTTTATGTAATAGCGATTTTTTAAGATTTTTATTGACATTATTTTGTTCATTACATGATTTTCGTTAGAATGTATATTTTAGGAGATATTTGCAAAAAGACGAAGAAAAACGCCAAAAATATATGAATTTTTCGTGGCCAGTAACTTGAAAAGTATTAGTTTCTTTGAAAAACTATAAAAGATATTTTTTTCTTATAATTAGTTCTTTTGTCAATTTCTGACGTTATTTTGAAAAAATGTAATTACACAATTGAGAAAAGGTGTCATCCCAAAGGTGATGGCGCAACCTGAATTATTTTCACTTTTGAACTTGAGGGTAAGATGAACCTAATTACAAAATTTCATTCAATTCGGTGCGCAGGAAAAAATTCAGACCTAAAACGTTCCGTTTACTGCACTCATGCAATTCCAGTTAAATTTGGATTTAAATGTATACTACATTCTTATGTTGTATGAAAAAGTTTTAGATTAAATAATATTTATCTTGTAGTTTAAAATGTGTTAACAATATAAAATTTCAGCGCACCAAAATTACATTTGCACCTTCAAAGTCAATTTTAACATACACCGAGTTGCCGTAGGTCATTATAATATTCAACACTATTCTAGATCAATTAATCCTGTATAATTTCCCCAAACATTCCATACACCCCAAACGAACCGTTTAGAAGTTACAACAAATATAAATATAAATATAAATCTATATATATATAAAAGAGGATCGTTTAAGTTAGAACACTTATAACCCACGAACGGCTGAACCGATTTAGATGAAAATTGGCAGGGAGGTAGTTTAGAGCCAGGAGAAACACATGGGATCTTACTTTATTTTTTTTGACCGTTTTCATTCTAATTCAAAATTAATTAATTATAAACTATCCATTCAGATAGTGCCATTGCCCATTCGTATAAACAGTGAAGTGAACTATAAAACTCAGTACCTATGGTTGACAAATCATATTGTTCTCAAACAATTATATACTCATTGGTATTTATAAAACATTTTCTGAAATATTTTTTTTTTAGTTATGTGATTTAAAATCAGAACCTAAATTTGGTATCGATCAAAGAGACATTTTGTCGAATAACATTTTCTCAGTTATAATTTCCCAGAATTTATCGAAGAATAGATAGTAATATATGAAGGTCCAGGGTTAAAAAGGTCCACCACAGATGTATCAAAAACCAGTAAAGTTAAGCATTGTTTAACAACAATATTTCAAAGTAGAGAGAAAAAGATATATAACAACTAGAACCTTGATTCTTATGACTTTGCTATTGGGCGATAAATGGTAATCTTTAAAAATCCATAGTAAATGTATTTTCTTTTGTTGGTAATTTTTTATCATTAGTTAAAAATGTAAATATTTTGAAAAATACCTTTAAAATTAAAATAAGACATTAAACCTGTTTGCCATCTGGACGTTCCAAGTTACCCCGCATATAGGATAAAAAGGTCTAGATAACAAATTTTTGGAAGACATCAAAAAAGCACATTTCTACAATGATGAAGTAGAAGTCAGTTTACTGAACGTAGTCAGATAATTGTTCGTTTGAAATGTGTTATTTGTTGTGATATAATTGTTATGGTTTTCACAATATAGTTTATATTTGATCAAAGTCAAATTGGACCTTTGTGTCTCGCCTTGCTCTACATATATTCTTTTTATTAAATTTACTTTAATTCATCGAATGTAACTTGAAACTTTTCAAAAAGCAGGTCAAAGAAGAAATACTTAATTCATTTTCTATCTCTCCTCGCAGAAATTTGAATTTTTTTTGATAAACTTAGTAGTATTATTTACAATTATACACAAAATCCAGAATCCAAAAAGAATCAGAAAAACTTGAAACGTAATCAATAAGCCGAAAGACCAAAAAAGACTTGGATTGGATTATAGAATAAAACCAGTTTGATTGTATTAACAAAATATAGACAAACTAATGGGATTTATTGTTTTTATAATACGTCATTGTATTTAGCATTCAAACAACTTAATCCTTATGCACTTGAAGTATTAATATTTTTGATCCTCTAGAAATTGTTTAGAATATACCTTACTTAGCAAAACAATGTTTGCCGGGTCAGCTAGTATAAATATAAATATCATATAATAAATAAACGACTTACCTTATTATCCTTAACCGCCTCTCCTCTCTCTCTGTCCCTCACCGCTCTGGCAGCTGTTTCTGCTTCCCTGGTGTAGTAGAGTTTCGAACCGGCCAGCAGTAGCAGCACCTGCCGCCAGACGCGCTGCTGGGCGTGAGCGTTGCCGCAGGACGGCCCAGCGCGGATCCAAACCAGGCCGACGAGGGTGAACTTGGGGTTCGTGGAAATGTTGGCTGATGACGATTGGGCGAACACGGAGGACGAAGACTGAAGAGTAATTGACAAGTTTAAAAATATAAAGTTTTCTGTATAATTATTATATTTAGTGAATAGCTCTTTAGGGATCAGAAACATGAACTCTGAGGAAAGTCGATGAAAAGACCTGCACGGTTTCAAGATTTGGTGCTGTAATAGATAGAGACGAGAATTTGACTGGAAAGGTGCAAATAAGGAAGTACTGCGCCAAATGATAGAGAAATAGAGAAAAGACCTCTACTGCCTATCATATTGGTCCACTACTATTTATTATTTTCATTAATGACATTTCTGATACTATTAACTGTCCACATTTACTATTTGCAGATGATCTGAAACTATATCTCAAAATAAATTCTATTGATGACTGCTCATTATTACAGTCTCAACTTGACCTTTTCCAATCTTGGTGTATCTATAACAAATTACATCTAAATATATCAAATTGCAAGATTCTTAGCTTTACACATAAGCGCGTTCCAATACTTTTTGATTATAAAATTTCTAACACCAGCATTGATAGATGTTATAAAATTTCCGATTTAGGTGTTCTATTTGATTCTGGTTTGTTTTTCACAGATCATGTAATTGATATTTGTAATAGAGCACATCGATCTTTAGGTTTGATACTAAGAAATTGTAAACAATTTAAGTCTACCAATGCACTTCTTTGCATGTACTATTCTATTGTACGTTCAAAATTAGAATACGGTTCGATTATTTGGTATCCTCATCATATCAACAACTCTGATGCGATAGAGAAGGTTCAGCGAAAATTTCTGAAGTATCTTTATTATAAAACATATAAAATTTACCTGAACGTGGCTTTGACCACAACTTTACTAAAAGAATTTGGTATTCCTTACCTTGCCTCACGTCGATTTATCTGTACAATTATGTTCTTATTTAAACTTTGCAATAATTCTATAGACTGTCCTCTTATTCTCAATCAACTATCCTTTAATGTTCCAAGCTATCTTCGCGTTCACAATTATTTTTCAATTATCCCACCCCTAAATCTAATTCCCTCTTAAATTCGCCAATTATACTAATGTCCTCTAACTTTAACTTAATTAATAATGAAATAGACATTCACAACACATCACCTAATCAATAATCTCCATCTGCACAAGTTAATCTTTTTATTTTCTTTCAAATATCTCATTATTTCTTTATTCTGTTTATAAATATTATGTTACATTCTGCATTATATGCAATTTATCTTAGCATTTTATGTTACTAACTATATATTGTAATTTTGTATATTTTATTTGTTATTCATTATTTTAAATAATTGTATTTTTGAGTCCTCTTAGAGAAATCTGTGGGCTATATATTTAAATAAATAAATAAATAAATAAATAAATATTGGAAAAAGAGTTCATTCTGCAGAACAGCAGAAAGAAGAAAGAGAACTTACCGTGTATATAGGATTGATAAAATCGTCAATAGCACTTGCAACCATCATGTCAGTCGGGAAAAAATTCTGGAACAAAAAAATGAAATAATTAAAATCTTAGTTTTAAACAATAGGTCAAGAGTGATATATCACAAAACATCAAAGCATCATAAATAAATGTTTTTTAAAAAGAAATCATAATTAATAATGAAAAGTTAAAAGTATAATGACCATGTAGTGACATAATACAATACACAGTATAAGTGCACAGAGGGTCTATTGTGCCCAAATAAATCGCTTACATCGATGATGTAACTTTATACACTTCTTCAAATTTTTAATATTTTTTTAGCATTCCAAAGGAGAAGTTTATGTTTTCATCAAAAAATCCGATTCGCTAATTTTATGTTTTCTCGACGTTTCAAGCCATTCTGAATCCAATGAGACCAAATTTGGAAAATGTAAATCGAAATTTTCTCTAAAATGGCTGGACCGATTTCAAAAATTTAAAAGCCATTA